AGAGGAGCGTGGTCAGAGGATCTATCACCTCTTTTTCGACCTTTCACTCTATCAAATGGAGGTTCGAATGACTAAGTCCAATTAGAAACATGCGCAAATAATGATTGCCAAGGCCGAGTGATATCACATGTTTAAGCACTAGTATTTAATGACCCGTCTCTCCCTCTCGTAACCATAACAACGGAGCACTGACAATTATCTTGAATTATCAGTAATTTACTTTGCCAAGTGACTTAGTGGACACGTCATGAATCTTGGTCGTCTGATGTCATCCAAAGTTTATTTTATTTCAACGTCACTCGTTATAAAAACCACTCTCACTCCACTCCATCTCGCCTCTCCACTACAACAACCCGAATTTATATGTTGCCTCCCAGTTATAATCATCACCTGGGCCATAAAACTGGTTCCGTCCCCATTCAGGGCTGTATCAACCTGTTAGTATATCCCGATTCTGAAATGTCACAAGGAAGACTTACTGATTAATGGCATCATTCCAATCCTGTGCCTCCAACGCCACACATCCTCCACTCTGGATCAACCCATTTCCAGCTGCCCCTTCTCCGCCCTGGGTACTCTTGATCGGCGTCGTCCCCGGCATCCAATAACACGAAAACAGCTGCATCGCTGCCTGGTCCGTGTAGATCTCCATCTTAATCCCGCTCCAGTCGCTCGACAGAGTCGCCACAGGCTTAGCTATTCTTGGGCTCTTATCCACCAGCCAGCAATTGTTATAACCCTCGCAGCCCGAGCCCGTACCGCAGTTACCTACCCACCCGAGGGTGAGGAGGTTGGTTCCTAGCTGCTTTGGAGCCGACCAGAAGTCGTTAATATCGCCCTGCGGGATTGTGGTAATCTCTCCGGTAGGCACCATGTTTGGGTCTGGTGCAAGGAGACGCTTGCTGTACGGTGTGTAGTATGTGTGGTTCCAGATCAGATCAGTGTTCGGGTTCGCGAAGGCGTCGAGGTTCCAGTATGTGTGTTGAGTCAACATCAATGCTACCTCCCACACACATGTCAGCAACTCCTTTCATAATTCACAACGTTCGAGCAAAGGGAACTCACGAGTCCTCGCCTCCGGCGACAGCGCATGGATCTTAATCTTCCACGTCTTCTCTGTCAACGTATACGTGACATTTGCATCTATGCTGCCGGGCATACCCGTGCTGAATGCCGGATCATGTAGCCCAAACGTGATGCTATTGTCGCTCACAGCGACTACCTCAAATGTGCGGTTACCCCATCCGTTGGGTCCAGAGTGTAGGGTGTTGTTTCCGTCGTTCTGCGGCGTGTGGTAGGTTACGCCGTCGAGTGTGAACTGGGCATTGCCGATACGGTTGGCATAGCGCCCCGGTATGGCGCCCATGTGTGTAGCTGGGTCTGCGGAGTAGTCGCTGGGTGAGTCGTGGCCAAGGACGATGTCGCGTTCGATACCATTTTGGTCGAGAACGAAGAGGTTGGTGATGGCTGCGGCGAAGGGGATAAACTAATTCGTTTGTTAGTCAAGCAATTAAAGAATCGGGGAAAATACTAATCAAGTAGAGTACATACCTGTGCCCGAATTCCAGGTGCGCTGATGGTATACTTACCATCTGTGCCAGGGGGTGGAACCGCCGCCGCAGAAAGGGAGGCCGATAGCCCAAGTATCAGGAGTGAGATACTCTTCATTTCTGCCAAATTTACCAAAGGTGCAAAATCCAGACAAGACCCTCAGAACGAGGGAATCACCGAGTTCAAATAGTCATTCTTAGCCCCAGCTTACCAGAAGCTCAGACAGCTACCACGTCGGCGCTGCAGATAATACTGATCGCAGATACATCATTGGCACCGATCCTGTACCTTGCAACTACCTAAAGCAGGTGGTACCAACGCTGCTCCCTCCCGACAACCCCGACGCCGCCAGGGGTAAATATATTAGAGCGGGGTAGAAAGTCCGGGGCAAGCATATAGAGCAGATCATCCCTCCCCGTATCCAGCCCTGTTGCGATTGCTTTCGGCCCCCTTTCGACTAGGTATCTTGAGGAATGAAATTGCAGCTGCAGAGAAGGACCTGCTTATGAACGGTTATAAATCTGCTCATGGACGGGTTTCCCGGGAAATGGTCGGGCGATTGTAACGAGTCGTACTATTGAGCCAACGGAATGCTGTGAAGAATATAATCAGGTTGCGGGAATGAAGACATATTTCGCCGAATATTGGCGGTCGTCGGACCGGGAAAGCGCTGGCCCCCGACTTGAAGGAGTGGTGTAACTGAACCCGTCCCTCAGCATAGTACTGGAGTGACTTCATCAAGTAGGAGGTAGTGAGGCCTTTCGGTATCACGGCACCCTATCGATATATCGTTTAATGAATAAGCTTAAGTTAGGGAAGCATAATGTTATCGATACCTGATATGATGTCAATATATATTAGACGAGCTTCAAACATCACCAAATCGAACATCTCGCTAAGAACTACAGCCTCCAGGGTTCCAGGATATATGAACCGAGCCGTGCGACCGGCAGACGTTTGATTATAAATGAAATATCGCTGACCATTATGGTGTTGTTTCTAACAAAGTTGGTCCTTAATCGCCAATAAGTAATTAGACTACCAGATAGCACAAGTGTCATACCAGGCTTGGCAGGGTCAGAAGCACGCACGGTGTTTGAGCCAACATGAAACAAAGCCGATAAAGACTGATGAATGCGCATGGAATGGGCGTGGAGGTAAAACCCCATGTTGTCTTGGGGGTTGTTTGATGCGGATGCGGGGAGCCGCAGTGTCAAGGCCATAAAGTCATGTTAGGCATCACCAGGCATCACTCGCTGGGTGTACGCCTTCCGAAATAGGTTAGTCGCGCCCGGAATCTTTTTGAATCCCGCTATTCAACGGGTACATGTAGTCACTAGCGGTATCCTGGGCGCTCTCAATGGTGGGACGGAATATAGTCGTGGCGCCGGTGTTCTTTGAACCTTACAGGTCCGGGTGCTAAACTGTGATCACAGAAGTAACGTTGTCTACCGGCGTGCCTGAGCTTTGAAAGAGCGAAACTCGAGTGGAACTGTCTCCACTCATCAACCACACTGAGGTGGTGGCGGCCGCCATTACTGAGGTCTAATTCAAGTATATATATAGTCACGTACTGAATATTTGGCTATCTAATTATAATCTCTGCACTAAACTTAACATCCGCTTGCCATAACTCAGCGGTGAATCTAGAGCTGCATTCGAACTCTTGTCTTCAGATTGTATGGTAGTAGCTGAAATCATGAATATTCTCGTTGAGTAGTCGGCCGTCTATCTAACGAGGCAGTGAGAGACTTTGCGGTATTACGGCTTCCATATCTTGGCCTGTCATAATGGAATCCCCCTAGAATATGAGGATCGTGTGACGAGCATTGAGCAATCAACTGATTATGACGGTTTCGGTCACGGTGTTCGGGATAAGTTAATTGTGAAATGCGGTTGATCTCACAATTCCGCTGTTACCACCTAATTCGATAGCCCAAGAGCTACATATGGAGCTAGTAAAACAAGCTTCGCCCGGGAATGACCGAATAAAGCAACCCTATGATGGCCCGTGCATGCGCAACACTATACTCCCAGTACATAAACACGTAACTGAGCCCCCCTTGCAAGCTCTAGTGGTGCAGTCGGTTAGCATGTCCAAAATAAGCCCGTAGTAGAAAATGCTGTGAGGGAGACTTGGGTTCAAATCCCAACTAGAGCATCACCTGTTATTTTTTCTTTCTTGCCTAGCGGGAATCACTTATGGGATGGGATGTTCAATTCTACACATATGAAGCACGCCCACATGATTCTACCTCAAATACAAAGTCTTAACTTCAGAGTATAATCCGGTAGACTCTATATTCACTTGAGCTATGGCAGGATATAGGATGCGGAATTAACCCTCTGATAATCCATACGAATACTACAGTCATTTACGGGGTGAGGACGAACCATGAGTGAATACAAACCAAGGTTCTCGATATCGCAATGAACAACTACATGTAAGTTACCAAAGCGATCTTCCCATTGTTTTATATTTGTCCAAAAATCCCTGTTCGTCTACACCCGATCCAGTGTTCGTCATCACCCTGTGAATAACTGTACTGACGCTTCAATCTGGCTATACTGACGCGAAGGGCTTTGACGAAACGAGCCCGGATCCATGAAGGGGCCATAAATGAAGTCCTAAGTCCATGAGAATAGTTTACCGTGAGGGGCATATGATGTTGTTTTATCAATGTTCGCGCGCGTTGGTAGAGCTAGCTATAGTGCACGTTGCATCCTATATGTGGGTTCTGCTTCTTCATAGGCTATCACTCGTAACAATTACGTCGAAGATGAGTGATATTTCATGAACCTTGGTTCTTATAGGCTGATTTGAATGTTGTGATGGTACAACTGCATTCTTAACCAGTACTCCGTATACGTATACGATACCTCTTTGTAAATAGATAGACACGCGGAAAACGCCCATATAATCCTCTCTTTGATTGATTACTCTAAGGAATTAACGGCGTAACTCTGGGTTAGCTAACGATAGGTAAGTCGGAGGGAGGAAAACACAAAAATGGCTATAACATGTACGCTCACTCCCCTAGGAACGAGTGAAGATGTATTTGATGACTTAGGCCTGACCTAGCCCCTATTCGTGTTACTGTGATTACTGCACATGTAGCCATGAGCCTTGAGCGCTGTGTGAACTTCATTAGCGCCTGTTTTCACAGCAGTCAAGATCAGCACGGCCGGTGCATGCCAGGTCCGAATGAAAGTCTGGCTTACCTCACCAGCCCCCTCCAGAACCCCAAGCCCTGAGCCCTGAGGAAGGATATCGACGAAGCTGGCTGCATAACGTAGCGTGGGGAAGAGCGGACTGAAGTACATGTAGTCATTGGTCATCCACAACGCAAGAAAAAGTTTCAACACAAGCCCTTCTCTCAGCACAACTCCACTCCATCAGCTTGCCATCACACAAACTATCCTCTTCCTTATACTTCATCTCAGCCTCAATGCCTACCCAGTACAGGGCCCTCGAAACTATGCTTTTGGGCAAAATTGTCCGCCTCGAACGACATGTCTTGGAACTGGAGGACGAAAAAGTCACCGTTGAAGCCAAATTCAAGGCTCTCATGCTCCTAAACTCACGCCCCCATGGGCACTACACCAACAAGCCTATCTTCAGAAATTTGAAAGTTGGTTTCATCATCCCTTGGCCGAAACGTCATCTCCAAGTATGCGTACGCACCCCAGCCCCCACCGAGGAGAGTCATATCACAGCAATCAAGGAGGTGGATGATCAGATCGCGGTCAGAAAGAAGGAGATTGAGATCATTAAGGACGTTTTCAAGAAGGCCAAGGAGCTGCCTGAGGAGAGATGCATTAAAGCGCTATTGAGTTTTATTGATCTCTATAAGGACTATAAAGAGCCAGAGATGGCGTGTGAGATTAAGCCAGTCGTCTGCATTGAATTCGTGGCTTTGGATTCCTAGGGTGGTCGTTTCGCTAGTAAGGTGCATGTAGGTTTGTTTCTTCCGTTGTGCGAGTGTCTTATATACATTGATTGCTAATTTTGAGGTTCGATAAAGTGATGGGATTGCAAAAAGGGGGATAATAGCGCTATAGGTTGAAGGATAAATACTACGTAAAGAACGTTCATGTCGTCAAATTTACTTTACTCAGCATTCTATCAAATAAAGCACTGTAGTTTTTTGCAGGATGATAATAGTGTTCACCTTTTGCTACGCCCAACCCGTCACGAGTCGTGAGAGTAGTAAAATCAGAAAGCCTATGTGGAGGACATCTTGATACTGGAGATTCAACTCCTAAGAGGTCTAAGATTCTTGTGTAATAGCTAGAAATACGCTTAGGGAATCAATGTCTAATAAGGTCTGCAGAGGTGTTCTTCGGAATATCCTAAAAGGATGGCAAGGTATTTGAGCTGGATGAGAAATTGCAAGCTCGGGCGAAGAGATGCAGTGGCCCTGTATCGCTGATTCATCACGCATTTTTCCAAAGCACAAAATAGGCCGATTATGATCTCTCACTAGAGCTAGGTAGCCCTCTTGACAGTTACAGCAGGCCGGGGAGTTAATTCCCGACTCCCACTGTGGCGTAGATGCTTGTGTTCAACTCAGAGTTACTTATCTACATAAGACTTATTTACGAGTGAGATCAGAAGAACGGAAAGAAGCTCGGGTTATAGACGTTGTCAATCCCTTTTCTTCAGCTAATAGTGGTACATGGTCTTATAGTGATATGGAGGGTAGAGCACATCCTGCTATACGTAAGAATTATATATCACGGATCACGCTTGAGGTGTACATGGACAAGAGCTCATTGATCAAAACATTAGTATTTCACAAGTATAGCTACTCCTCTGATCCTTGCACAAGTATGCCGGAGTAGAATCCGCATATCCTACTCGAGTATAAGGGGATAAGCTGATCAAGCTGGATTTGGTCCCATGTAGGTATTCTAACTCAGTGTTATGGTGGACACCCTATTCAGCGGCCCGAAAATGATAATAATTACGCCTATTAACTAGACTAATACTACGCATGTGTGAAACATAGATCCTATTGCTGGGCGTAGAGTTCGTACTATATAACGTAATCATATTGTCAACGTACATATTTAAGCCCCCCCCCCCCCTCTCTCTTTTGCTCTCCATCTCTGTACATTGTCATCAACTTCGTCTCTGATGTAATTCTTTGAATTATTATGGTTCACTATATCGCCGCGCTTGTTTCATCAAAGGAAGTCAACCTTCCAGATGACATGATTACCCTGGCAGAGTTGTCTGGTATGTCTACAAAAGATTCATTCATTACTGTCTGGTGTCCATATGTGGCTCAGATCGAAGATTTCTAACGCACTCTGAGAAATATAGCACTACCAGTTGCTGTGGTTCCTGTCGTCTGGTTTCAGCTAGATGAAGATTGTAAGTATAATTCCTCAGATAGTATCTTCACTTTTTCCTTTCTTTGCATAAATCTAATCTTATTATCCACTTCAGATTCGTCATGGACTAGACAGCCTCCTGCGGAGGTGAGGGGTACGAGGAGGCCTCGGATGATTGCCAGGGAGCTCAGTTCGTATTCAAAATGTTATTAAAAGGAATTCACTAAATTTACTAATACCTCAACTAGAAATACTCCATTCGGCCGATTCTATTCCGCACACCCATTCGCGGGTGGGTGTCTTGGTTCACGATCCCACATCTATATACATGTGGAGGCCTGAGCTCCCTCGAGCTGTAAACCGGCCTTTAACAGGGGAAGCGGCTGCATCTTGTTGTGCAAGAAATATTGGCTAGGAGTTACCATTATTAAAACTGTATTTTCTCCTGATATATCCTATCTCTATCTACCTATCTGACATGTCGACGGCTACTTGAGATTCGTTTACGTCATCCCTCCTACCGCCATCAATTAACCATCACCCTGGCGGCCACGGGAACATCTCATTCCTGTAGGGCAATTGTACTATGGGGCCATAGATACTCACCCGAAGAATCTAGTTCGTATCATTCAATAATTCGGTCATATATCTGTTTTTCACTAACATCTTTATCAGACAGTCTCTACAGCAACAGCCTATTTGGCTGCTCCCTCACGGCCTAACATTCGGCTGGGGTCTGTGCGCCCCCGAATTAAACACCCAGAACACCCAGGAAAATGGCAACATGTCTTATAGAGGGCATTATCGGAACTGGACTGGGTTTGTATGTACACTAATATGTTTCACCTGTATTTATCTGTCTAACGTTTCCTTAGGTAGTTCCCTTCTAGTGTCAGTGCCCGATAGAGAGTTGCCAGTTGGTCAAAACAACAGCAATGGAGTTGATTTAGATTCGCTTTATTACTTCCCTCTTGTTTACTAGGGTCTATATATACCTCAAAACCAAGGAATGCCTCCCGTTGGTAAACACATCCGCCCTCGTTTTCAGCACATGTAGCTATCATGATTCAGCGCACAAATGAAAAGCAATTCCAACACTTTTTAATTACACCACTAACATCTTTTATAGGACTCTGCGTATATTTGGCCCCCAGACCTACCAACCACAATATTTGGGTAGTTCGATTGCGGCAAACGCATCTGGGCTAGAGCTCTTGACGGCTCTAGTAGGGGAAACATGATTGATGCCGAGGTCAGGAAAGGGCTCCCTGGGAAGAAACTTGCTTTCTTGTAGGGCAACTGTACTGTGGAGAAACACCCAACGGCAACAGACAAATATAACAGGTATGTGTATGTATGTTCGTATCCATAAAAGTATTTATTTAAATCATTTAAGATTCTAATCAGAATTGTCTATCACAGCGCCTAGGGCCATTACGTGGCCGACAATGGAAAAGCTAAATCATGTTAGCTGGAGGAGGCACAGCTAAATGCATATCTTTGAGGTTGGTAGAATTTCTAATATCTATGTTCCATGAAGCCCAGTTGCCAGCTATATATCTAAAGTCTCGTTAGATAGGTTTTCAAGCCACCCCAGGTCTTATGCACAACGCGATCAACTGGAAAGATGCATCTGAAAGATCTATGCGATGCATTGATCTGCCGTTGGAAGGAAAGGGAAAGAAAATAGACGGTCCGGGGCTTTGCAAACAACCATTCTTGTAGGGCGAATGTACTGTGAAACCATTGCGGGGATGTGGTCATCTCACTTATTGTGGTGGGGTGACCACACAACGTATACTAAATTGTGGGGATGTGGTCACCTCACCTATCGTGGTGGGGCGGCCACACGACATATGCAAAATCGTGGGGATGTGGTCTATCACCTATAGCCATTAATGTGGTCATGCGGCCACACAACATATACATTGTGGCCGGCGAAAGAGACACTAGAACATTTGTTCTCCTCGCTTTTTGTAACATAATCAATATACTACAAAAATCAATTCTTCATGATGAGATAGTCGTTTATCAAATAAGCGTGTTTGTATGCATTAACGAAATATATCTGGTCTTTACCATTATTCTGACCACGCATTCTCTATATGTACTCATGCTCACAGTCACAGTGAACCATTGTGTTGCATACAGTAGAAAATAATTACAAGCGTAAAACGGCCCCGAAGACGGTATTGTTGGACAAATTTGATTGTTGGATGGTATGTTTCCTTAATATATTCTTCCTAGGTATGTTGACCTTTTACTATATTTTTTCTCAACATCCACGCCGACCATTAATCCCCAATAATATCCTGCCATGTACCATAAAAGAAGACCTGCGATCTGGAAAAATCTTGTAGGGCGACTGTACTGTCAAACTAACATAAGACAAAGTGAGTTTGCTGTTCAATTGTAGTAAGACACCATATTGTAGCTATTCAACATCTCTTACGAGCTACGTTTATTATCCTATTAGTAGCTGCAGTTTCAAAACAGCAAATGCACGAGTAACAGATTTCAATAAACTTAGGAGTACATGAGTTTAATTTAGCACTCTGTGATTCCACTACCCGAAATCCGATATGCCTAATACATGTATTTAAGCGGGATACCGAGAGGCGTCTCGGCGTAGCACAAACGGCAGCCACCTTAATGCGGCTCTGCGGCTCGGCCCGCAGCCAACTAGTGTTTATTACCCTTGCCAGGCAAAAGTAAGCTCTCCTTGGCTTGCTTACCTCCGAGGTGAGATTTGTCAACTCTGCTCTTTTGCTTATCTGTTGCAACCTAATCAGGCACAATTCCCAAGTAATCATCGCTGTCAGCTGTGAGTAACACAACTTAAGTAGGGGTCGTGTGGGGCGTACAAATCATTACCATGGACATGTTTCAGTAGAACCGGAAGGGGGCGGGGGGTAAATATGGAGACGGTAGTTGGGGAGAACCCGCATCGGAATGCGCAATATATCGGTAGGAATCGAGGAATGTGGAGATATAATTAAGAGAGCAACGAGCGGCAATATATTAGGACGGGGGTACTAACTGCACTGAGCTGGTATGCAGGGTATGGCGTGGTATTCCAACAAATTCAAGGTTTATGAGCATGAGATAGCTAGCTGCGCAGGCACCTCATTTGGTTCTAATCGAAGCATTATTTGCCAAATGTTTCACCAAGACCACCAAAACTAATTGATTACATGTATATAGTACGCGCATGTACACATCCTATCTCATCTCTAGATGATATAGCATGTATGATACCGATCTCGGAAGGCTTGACTTATGCAAGACATTCTAATCCTCATGCTTGAGCGTGTATGTGCATGCACCTGTGTGTGCTATCAAATCCGAGGACGTTCACATCGTGTATACTATAGTAATGAAACAGCGGACAAGAATTAGTAAAATTGCTCTTTTCGAACATTCGATCGAGATCACCTCCTTGCAGTGGATATCAAGTCTGGTGATATATGATAACATTCCAAATCCTTGCTACCGGGTTTGAGCTTGCAATTGTCCAACCTGTTGTATGTACTTCTAAAGATTCATTAGTCAAAATAAACAGTATAATCTAATGGTAGCCCTTCTGCTTAATGCAAATACTCAAAAGGCTACCTTTGGTTCGCAACATCTTATGCCAAACTGGCGCGTAGAAACACGTTTTTCTGGTCCAAGTGATATAGTGTACTTCGAATTTCAGCCATATAGTAAGATGTTTGTCCGACTTCTGTTGGAATATATATCAGAGGTAAAAGTATCGTGAGGATGTTACTGGGGAAGAAAACCTTAATTTGTGCGACAGGTGTACGTTAAACCCGAGTAAGTGATGTGCCATCTCAACCACACCAGAGACCACATACACAACACCATATGAAGCAATTCCATAGTATACCTTTGCTCTTCTTACGCAGAAAGCTTGTATAATTTGTATTCTCCGAGTTATATATCAGACATTATCGAATCGACCCCTAGAACAGTCCTCGAAAGGTCTCTAGGTAGTACCGATGCGGCCTTGGGGAATTGGTTGATAGATGATGAAACGAGAATGTTCGTTAAAATCGGGCCAGTTTATGGATTTAGATTTCTCGAACAGGTACACCTATAGCTACGATGCTTCATGATTTGTGTGAGAGGTTTAATTAGTCTTGCTACATTAATCATCTCATGCGAGTCCAAAAAAAAAGTCCTTCAAATTGCGCCCAATATGCCCGTAAAAGAACGCCCCTAATTCCCAATAACCCAATAAAAAAGAGAAAAGGAAAAGAAATACACAGGTCGCAGATCTCTCTAAACCTTTCTAGCATAACACTTCAACCACCTGAAAGCCGTATTCTCCTTCTGACACTCCTCAACAACCTTGTCATCCTTCCAAATCATACACTCCCGACGGACCTTCATTCCATAAACCACATCCGCCACGTTACCATCATCTTCTGTTGGTGTATACAAATGGTCATATAGGTGTCTTCCCACCATACTCGTAACCGTACTCAGCTCGTCTCCAATGCTGGTGGTGGGCATCCACACCCAGCACTCCTTCACCTCATCGAATAGAAAATCCACACCTGAGGAGGTACTCCCTAACCTCTCCAACGCTGTCAAGATTATCTTGCTAGGTCTCATACCTCCAGCTAGAGGAATATTCTTAGCAATCCATGTCCTCGTTCGTGGGCCCATGTTGTTCATAACCGGGTCCACAATGGTTATTTCAAAGTAACCATGTGGCTTTAGTACACGCGCACACTCGCGGAATACACCCACGGTGAGCTGGATTAGCTCTTCGGTGGTCTTGTGCTTGTGTTGGAGAAGCAAAAGGGGAAGATTATGTGAAATAATGACGTCTATGCTATTGGAAGGGAGGCCACTGAAGTTTGAGAGTGTAGGAGCAGTGATGTGGTGGACGTTGGGTGGTGAAGAGGAATTCCGCTGTGGGCGAGGAGAGTGCGGGAGAAGGACGTTGTAAATTGTGGTAAAAGGATACTCTTCGGCGAGATGCCAGGAATAATCGGCTATAAAACTATTAGTAAGTCATTTCAGAGATTCATCTGAGAGGTTTACAAACCAGTAACTGCACCATCAAGGTCAAGAATACTGGATTCCGATACGCCCATCGCAATACCAACATCGCCGCTAAGCTCAATCAAATGATGCCCTGGAGAAAAGAGAACCCGCCCAAATGATAACCATTTCATGGCCATCAAAAACCACACCTGTTTCTCTAGTACCGCCC